AATGCTGGCTCCGGTGTGCCTTGGCACGCCTGGTGAGGGCTCCACAGGAGGTGCACGGGGGCCCTCAGCACCACTGGCCCACCCGCAGCACTCAGGTTGATGAGAAATCTTCCTTATCAGTGTCTCTCCCGGTCGTGGCTTTGAGCAAAATAGGAGTGAGTGTTTGTGAACCTGTTTCCTAATCTGCGAAGTGGATGCCTTGATATCTACTCCGAGGGTCTGTGAGGATTAAATAAGAGGATGCCTAGCACACAGGAGTCAAATCTGATTCTCCTTTCTTCCTTCCTCCACCCCACAGCATCTCAACTCGTTGGTCATCTTTTCCTTGAGCCCGGAGGCCTGCAGTCAGGTGCCGTGGGCTCGCTGGGTGTGGTCTAAGTCGGTAGTGGGGGCCCTGCTGGAGACAGAAGCCCTGCAGGGAGGGTGGGGGTGGCAGAGACCTGCTTTCGGGGGCCTTACGTGTCTCTCTTCTCGTCCCCGTCCTTGTCCCCAGATTCAGGCTTGTAGAGAAGAGGGTCGGTGAGCAAAGGGCGGGAGGCCTTGGGCTCCACGGGTGGCTCCCTCGCTTATTCCACCAGCAGTTCTGCGTTTGGTCCTCTCTTCCGGGTGGTGCAGTTGGACAGACAGACAGAACCCTCTGCCCCCGTGGAGCCTGTATTCTAGTGGGGAGGCAGCTCTTGTGACAGTAAATCAGTGTGTGAGACGAGCTATGGAAAACAGCAGGTGGTGAGGGGGCAGACGTGTTTGCTGCTGTGACTTTGGCTGCAATTTTAAATCAACTGGTCAGGACGTGCTGGGGGTAGGAGGGGAGTGAGCTTCCCGGGGGATGATGGCAACAGCAGTAACGGCCTCCATTCTCTGTGGTGGTAAATTCACAGCAGCGGCGGGGTCCCTGTTTTATAGCTAAGGACAGACTCTGGGAGATGAAATAACTTTCTAGTGGTGGAGCTAGAATTTGAGCCCAGGCCTGTGTGACCTCAGAGGGTGGTCCCACTAGCATTGCCCTCTGCCCCGTGCCCATGAGGAGCCACCCTGTCACCTGGCGAAGCTCCAGGGAGCCAGCAGATGCTGTCGCCACCGTGGACCTGGTCTCTGGGAGTGGGTGGGTGGCACTGCCTGTGTTCCTGGTGAGGGAGTCGGGCCGGATGGTCCTGTGTTCCGGACAGGACCTCGCTCACACACTGCAGAGTGCGCCAGCCTCAGAGGACGAGGATGAATCACAGCAGAGAGGGCCAGCTTAGTCAGCACCCCATGCTGGTGTCTGGGTGCCGTAGAGACGTCCGGCTGTCCCCATTCCCCTTTCCCTGACCTCCCACTCAGGGCTGCCAAGTGCGGTGGTGCAGGTTGTGCCTTGTGCAAGGACGCCTGGCTACGAGGTGAGACAGAGTGAAATACACTCTGCTTGCCAAGTTGTGTGTCTGGCCCGGTGCTGTGTCTGTCCAGAGGATTCTGCAGCCGCATCTTTTGCTAATGTGCGCCAGGGCACTGGAGCGGGAGGGATTTGGGTCAGGAGCTCTAGAACTTCACACCTGGACGATGCCTGGGTGAGGTCACCTTGCTGGAGGCCAGCTCCTAACCAGGGACAGGGCCTCTGCCTCCATGGGGTCAGGCCTGTGAAGGAGGCAGGAAGTGCTGGCCCCTCTAAAGCCGCTCTGCTCCCTTGACACCGTTCCCGGGCATTGGGGGCTCTGCAGAGCTGCTGTGCAGGCAGAGGTCTTAGCCTGCCAAAAGGGCTGAGGTTCAGTCCCACCCCTGCCTTGTGCTGTGTGCTTTGGACAACTCAGTTCCCCTTTCCTGGCCTCCCTTGCCTCATCTGTAATATGGAATAGCTGACCACAGAGGTCACTTGGGCACTGATATCCTGTTCCTTGTTCTGAGTCTCAGTTTTCTGAAATACAGGCTTTTGGAGGCTAATAATAATGATGGTGATGATGGCCAATGTTTCTGGAGGGCCTCCTGTGGGCCAGGCTCTGTGCTAAGTGACACACGTGTGTGTGTATGCCCTTAGAGATCACCTGGTCTAGCTGTCTGCCTCCCACTTCACATGTGGGGAAACCGAGGCCTAGAGAGGGCAAGTGACAGAGCCACATCTTCACCTGGCAGAGCTGGGACTAGACACAAAGTCCATTGACCCGTCCTGGACGGCTGAGCACTTCCCCTGTGCCAGATGAGGGGTGGCCAGTGTGGGCAGAGGGAGGCACGGGTGGGCAGCGCTGCCACGATGGCCCTCAGCTGAGGCTGGTGTGCCCCCCATGGTTTGTACATGTGAGAGAGAGGGGAAAACACAAATACACACGTTCACACAGACACACACAGCCCAGCCCCGAGGGGCTCATCATTTGAATCGGTGTTGCTGGGCAGATTGGGAGAGGGGCGTGTGATCTTCATTTCCTGGTGGTTTGTTTGGAGACCTGCTTTGCCCTTCCTGGATGTGTGATCTGGGGCACCTCACAGCACCTCTCTGGGCCTCAGTTTCCTCAATCGTAAATGAGGTTGTAATACATACCTCTTGGGGTTTAAAGGGGCCACGTGGTCCTGGGGGTGTAGTGAGTAAAGGAAAGCTGTCATCAGTATGATTTGTTAGGAGGCGACTTTCATAAGTGATTAGGAGTATGGGCTCTAGAGCCATCCTGCCTGTGTTCTAAGCCCAGCTCGGCTGCTTTCTAGCAGCATGATCTTGGCTAAGTCACTTCACTTCTTGGAGCCTCAGTTCCCTCATCTGAAACCTCACAGGTTGTCCTGAGGATTAAGTGAGATGATGGATTATAAAGCTTTTAGCCCAGTGCTGGCACATAGTAGGTGCTTAGTGCATCAAATATTACATAACATTTATTGTACACTTGCTTAATGCCAGACATTATTAGTGTCATTTGTATTGCTGTTACTCTTTTATTAATAATTCATTTGGATTCAAACTTCCGTGTGCTGCTCCCTAAGCAATCAGCCAACCCGTTGGACCCACCGCCCCATATTCCTACAGTGAAAGTAGAGGCCTGGAGAGGTCCAAGGTCACACAGCTGGCTTCCCAGTGCCCTGTGTGGTTTTGCCTAGCTAAGTCTGCCGCAGAGCCACTGTTCCTTATCAGTCTCCTGGAGGAACGCCCCTCCCACTGGCCCTCCCTTCCCCTCCCCTTTATGCTCCAGAGCCAGTGGCTCCTCTGAGCTTCAGCCTTCATGAATGGCTTAGTTAAGCACTCGGCCGTTAAACGTTCATCTCTTACAATTTCAGTCCAATTCCTATAAGTTTATTGGCAAGACAGGGTGTATTAGAGCTGCCAAATTTAATATATCAAGTCCGCGTGTCTGGGATGCGGTTTCTCAGCAGTAATGGGAGAAGAGAGGTTTTATACGTTTTCATTTTGAATGACTGTTCGTGATCCCATTACAGCCCTTGACTTAATGGCTGCTGCCTCTGCCGCAGGAGCGGCTTTCTCCATCCCTCGCCTGGCTGCCTGGACTGTCCAGGGGCTTATTTGTCTCTGTGTCTCTTCCCGTTCTCTTCTTCCCAACATGTATTCCCCCATCTCTCTGCCCTGTGGGTCAGGTCTCAGCTTTAACTCTACTTGCCAGATTCTGAGAGTCTGGGGCTTTTGCCGCTGGCCTGGGCTGCTACCTCGTGACCTTGGGGAAGTCACTTTTCTTCCTCCTCTTGGCCTCAAGAACCTGCTCTGGGAAATGAGGGGTCAGACTATAGGACCTGAAAGGTGAGAGGCTATTCTGGGCTCAGCCTTTGCAGATCCCACCTGGTGGCCCTGAGTGAACCCATTTGTCCTCTGGTCTTGTGACACAAACAGGGACTCAAGGGCTGGCCTTGAGTCATGGCTGCAGATCTCCTGGGTCAGGAGTGGCAGCTGTGGTCACCAGGACTGAGGGGTCTTAAGTGTCTGAAGACCCTGAAACGTTCTCATTTCCCTCTGTGATTGCCACCTAAGTGTTTAGCTGATCTCCTTGGGAAGCTGTGTGCATTTCTACCTGAGCCCTCTGGCTTCTCTAAGCCTTAAGCTGGCTGTGGAAGGGAGGACACCAGCAGCAGGATTTTAGGGCACCTGGGTTTGCCTTCTGCTTACCAGCTATGTGACCTTGGGCAGATCGCTTCCTCTCTGTGAACCCCAGTTGTCCCATAAGGAAAATGGGAATTAACTCATTGTTGAATAACAAATATTTGGTTGCCTACTCTGTACCATGCACCACTTTGGGGGCTGGGGCTTTGTAAATTTTATGTAGAAAAATAAAGTGTGAGTGTCCTAAAAACAACAACAAAAACACAAAAATATCCCAGCCCACATGGATTTATATTCCTGTTGAAGGAAAGAAAAATATAATAAACATAACAAGTAACTTATTACTTCAAAGGTGATAAAAGTGAAGCAGGGAATAGGGAAAGCTAAGTGGAGGGTTCTGCAATTTTAAATAAAGTGGTCATGGGAGATTACTGAGAAGGTAGTATTTGAGCAAAGATCGAAGGAGTCAAGTGAGCAAGCGGGGCACGTATGTGGGGGGGGGGGAGCATCCCGGCAGAGGGAACAGCAGGTGCAAACAGCGGGAGGTGGGCGTGTGCCTGGCGTGTGCCTGGCGCGTGTGAGGAGCAGAGAGGGGGGCTGTGCGGCCAGCATGGAGGAACAGGAGAGGGGACGTCAGAGGTGGTGGTGGGGGCTGTCCAGAGTGGGTGAGGTGGTGGTTCTCCAGCCTGGCTGCAGACGAGAATTCCCTGGGGTGCATTAAAACATGCTGATGCCCAGGCCTCACCCACTGTGTTTCTGCTTTAACCGACCTGGGGTTGAAGCTGGGCGTCAGAACTGTTAAAAGACCCCTCTGGAATGAGGCCTCTCAGGCCATAAGCATCCGCCCGGGTAGCCCCTCATGGGCTGTTGCGGAGTTCATACGAGCTGGTGTGGGTAAGTAGAGCCTTCCTGACGTGGCGCAGGGCTGGCCCCCGGGCATGCTCAGGCAGGGTGGTGGCATTTCCTCTGCGCTCTGACCCAGCGCCCTGCGACTTCCCAGGCAGCGGCAGCACCTGGCGGGGGTGACCATGGGGAAGCGTTACTTCTGTGACTACTGCGACCGCTCCTTCCAGGACAACCTCCACAACCGCAAGAAGCACCTGAACGGGCTGCAGCACCTCAAGGCCAAGAAGCTCTGGTACGACATGTTCCGAGGTGGGTGTTGCCGGCCTGGCGGCCGGGCTGACGAAGCCCTATTCTCCAGTCTTTCTTATCATCAGACAGGGAAACGCTGCGGGCCAGCGACAGTGCTGGTCTGGGCTCTTTGAGGAGCAAAAGAGAGGAGGCCTGGGTTGCTGGCCCCTGGGGCAGATGGGCCCTCAGAAGGGCAGGTGGAAGGCGAGCTCCTTTCCCTGCAATCCTGACTGAGGGCTCCGTTCTCTGACGCCTTGCCAGGCTCTGGGGACACTGTGGCCACGAAGAAGGCCTCTCTAAGGAGCTAATGTCTGGGCCCACAGCTGAAAGGTAGGGAAAAGCCAGTGGTCCATCCTGGGCAGAGGGCAAAGCGCCAGCTGCTCTCGGAGCCGAAGAGAGGATGAGAAGGAGCATGGTAGGGGCCGAGGCTGGCCACAGGGCTGGGGCCAGATCGTGCAGGCCTGCGGAGGCCACGGTAAGGGGGATGGGCAGAGGGCAGCCTTTGAAGGGCTGTGGGCAATAGCCACCACGACTGGAGCTACGTTTGATGGCGATGGCCGACTGCTGCCTGAGCAGGGGGCGCAGTAAATGGCTGTCGAATGACTGAGCTGCTTCTGGGAAAGGCTTATGAGGCAAAGGAATTAAGGCCATAACCACCTGGCACAGGGCCTGGCACCCAGGAGCATTGGCTGGAGGGGAGCTGCTGCTGCTCTGCTGTCTTTAGACACACTGAGCCGTAGTGAGAGAGGCACCAGGAGCTGGACAAATGGAGGGGGACTGTGGCAGTGGGGTGGGGTGACCAGGAGCTCCTGGAATGAGCCGGGGCAGGGCTGGTGCTCCATGAGCTGGGAAGCAGGATTCCAGGACAGGGCCCAGAGGCTGGAAGGAAGAAGCTGAGTCCCAGCAGCTCAGAAGGGGAGACAGAGAGTTCCCTGGTCTGTGACTCAGATTCAGGTCACTCACATTTTATTGAGTGCCTGCTGTATGCCAGGTGCCTTCCATGGTCTGTCATTTGCTTTTCTCAGTAACTCTGTAAGGCAGCAGATCTAAACCCTTTGAGTTAGGATCACCTAGAGACCTTAAAATAAAAAACACTGATCCCCTGACCCCCATCCCCAGAAGCAGGTTTGGGCTGGGGTCTAGGCTTGGGTGAGGGAGAGTGGCCAAGCCACTCAGCAGACCAGGCGTGGCTATGGTTGCAAGGGGCTGGGAGTGGGGGCAGAGGGGAATTCAGGGGCAGAGGGGTCTCCCAGGTGCCTCAGAGGCCTCTGAACCTGGTGTCAGGCAGAGGCTTCCTGTATCCCAAATCCAGTAGGGGCTGCGATCTGGCGTGGTGCTAGGCCTCAAGGTTATCCTGGTGTTTGTTCCTAGTCCCAGACTTTCAGCCAAGAACCCTGGCCCCGTGGGTACAGGGTTGATTGGAAGAGGGCTATAGAAAAGATGAAACAGTGGGTGCCACGAGCCCCTTCTCAGGGTTCCCAGCATTCGCTCACATCCCCAGCCATATCCAGTTCTTAAAACAGCACTTCGAGGGAAGCTGGGCAGGCCAGGGAGCCCCACTTACAGGTGGTGACTTAGAAATCCAGAGCAGTGGATCACCTCACCCTGGTCCCCAGGCTGACATATGAGCTCTTTCCCCTTCCCTGGGAGGCTTCCCCAGGGCTCCAGCTCACCTGCACAACCGCACAGCACAGTCTCTGCAAGGGCACAGGGTACCCTGCCTCAGCTAGGACTCGAGACCTGCTCTGCTCCCGGCTTCATGGCCTTGAACAAGTCCCTTAACCCTCAGAGGGCTGATGATCCATCTGCCTTGGTCAGGACAGGCATGGGCCCTGGAGCTGGGCTGCCTGATGTCAGTCCCAACGTGTCACTCACTAGCACTGTAGCCCTAATTTTGCCATGTGTAAAACAGCTGTAATAGCCATACCCCCCCTCCCAGGGATGTGACGGGGCTCAGTAATCTCCTGATGACTGTATGGCACGTAAGGACTTACTAAGTAAGAACGATGCTTATGGGTCCACAAAAGGATTGGCCTTGTACCCTTTATCTCATGGCTCATTCATTCAGCCAACACTTGGTGAGTGCTTAGCGTGTCCTTGGCTCCCAGAGAGGCTCTGAAGACTTAAAGGTGAATAAAACAGGGCCCCTCTCCTGTGTAACCTCACACCCCATTACAACAGTGTGTTCTGGGTGGAACCCCTGTCCCACCCAGGCCTCCAAGCCCTGCTGAGCTGTCCCTCCACGCTCCAGCCACACTGACCACCACAAGTACTGTCCCCTCTGCAGGCATGCCTTTCCTGCTGTCCTCCCCACCCCAGACAGTCCTCCAGGACGCCCTCTCCAACTCCTGGGCCAGGTCAGGTCATTTGGCTGCGTGCTGGCTGTTTACCCCGTTTATATCCACGTGGATTAGTGTGACTATTGGAGTGGAAGGAAGGACCAGGTCTGACTTGTTCTCCACTAAATCCTCATCCTGGCGCAGCGCCTGGCACACAGGACGTGCTCAGTAAATGTTTGTTAGATGAATATCTCAATGAACAAGCAAACAAACCCAGGGCAGCAGGGCAGCTGTTAATTTGGGGAGCTGAAGCGAGAAGGACCAATAGGGTCAGATCATGAGGAGCCTTGAATGCCAGGCGGAGGAGCAGGGCCTGTGGCTGGGGGTTCTCAATCCTGGGTGCACTTCAGAATCACTAAGGAGCTTTTAACAATTCTCATGCCCTCCCCTTAGATGAATTACAACAGAACCTGAGAAAGATGGGCTTGGGCTGTGTATACTTTAAAAGCTGCCTAGTGATTCGCCGTGTGGCTGGAGTTGAGACCCACCAGCCAGATGCTGGGCAGCCTGGAACTCTTCTCCCATACTGAGTCACCCCACCAGGGTCCCTTGTCTAAGACTCAGACTCAGCCCCATTTCCAGTTTAGCTGTCCTACCCCAGTGGGGCCCTGGGCAATGTCCACACGCCCTCCACCAGCCCTCCTCCCCAGGGAAAGCCTCTGGCACCAGCTGGGTGGGCTGAGTCTGACAAGTCCAGTGCTGACCCTCTCCCCATGCTGCTGGCCCACCCACGCTCCTGCAGGCCGCCCCGGGAGTAAGTCCTCTGATAGCTAACTCTCGACCCCAGCAGGCCAGCCCTGAGGAAGTGAGGAGCCCCCCTCAGAGTCGGCTACTCACCAGCCACCAGGAAATCAGCAACCACACAGGAAAGGGTGGGGGCTTGAGACGCACAGGCCAGGGTTCAGACCTGGCACTGCCACTTCTTATGTGTGTGCCCCCTTTCCCTGTGTGAACCTCAGTTTTTCCGTCTGCAAAATGGGGATGTTCATGTAAATGGTGGGTTTATGAGGAGGAAATGGAGTAAGAACTGCTCTCGTTTGTTGAGCATCCACTCCAGAGGCTCTCAGCCCTGGCTGCACATTAGCATCACCCGGGGACCATGATGCTGAAGCCGTTCCCAGCCCCACTTTCCCACAATTCTAATGTGGGACCTCCTCTGCCCAGTGCTCTCTCCATCCGTTATCTTATTAAATGTTGACAGCAGCCCTACCAGGTGAGAATTTTCCTCCCATTTTACGTATGGGGAAACTGAGACTTAGAGAGAGTTCACCTACCAGTCAGGGCTCGTTAATGGGGAGCCCACCTAACCCCTCACTCCATTTGGATGTGGCCTGGAGAGTATTCAATTGGAAATGCTTGGTACCTGCTCCAGCTGGAAAGTCTGACTTGAGGGCTAGGTAGGAATTTAGTGGTGAGGTCTCCATCTTGGAGTAACCAGCGGAGATGTGTTTGATTTCCGAATAAATTTAGGAAAGAAACAAGAAAGTGTAACAGAAAATCTAAACAAAGAAGAGCAGAGGACCCAGGGGGCTCTTAGAGTGAAGGTCAGAAACACCAGGGGAACTATTTTGACTCGGTGACTTTGGAATCCAGTGAAAAGGAATGGCTAACACCATGAAATGAAGCATAGAAGTCAGAAGTCAGGTGGGATAAGGCTTCCAACAGCCATTAGACTTCTGAGGTGGAGGTCATGGTGACATTTGGCGGATGTGGTCCTGTGTACCTGGACTCAGTAGCCCATGGTCCTTCCTTTACCCCAGCAGCCTCTAGAAAAGGCAGCAGATGGACGGGGAAAGTGCACAGCTCAGACCTGGCCTCTCCTTCCTCCAGGGCGACATGAGGGCCTCTGAGTCAGGGCACCTTCCTCACTCGTCTCACTCACTTACAGATTGTGACTGATTGATTCCTTGCCCGCCAAGGAGCATACAAGATTTAAACTGTACCTATATGATGAAAATAAAAGTAGGAAAAATCGGAGGAAACCGGGGTTAAGGTTCATATCCAGAAAGATTGCCAGGAAGTCCTGTTGAGGCCGGTGGCTAGTGTGAGAGGGGAACAGAGGGAGGTGGGGTACAGCCTTGGCCATGGAGCGATGCCTGGGCCCTGGGGTTTACTGGTGGGCTTTTTAGGTTTTTATTTTGAAATAATTAGAGAGTCTCAGGAAGTTGCAAAGACAGTACAGAGAAGTCTTCTTCTGGTACCAGGACTTCAAAAAAAAACACCTCCCAATATGATCTACTGTGCAAAGTTGAGAGTCTCTGACCTCAAACCTGGTCCTGGCCTTTGGCTGGGTCTAGGTGGGGTGGGTGGGGCTGAGGTCACCTGAAGCTCGGATCCCTCTGCCCAGCATCCCTACCTGTGGTCATCCCCTCTTACACTCCTCCGTGGATGAGGACCTCTTTCCTTCCCTGATCTCAGTGGTAGGAAGTGCCCGTGTGCAGCTAAAGTCTGAACCCGGATCCTCTCTCCTCGCAGATGCAGCTGCCATCTTGCTGGATGAGCAGAACAAGCGGCCCTGCAGGAAGTTTCTACTGACAGGTAAAGCGTTCTACTCCGTTCAGGTCCCCTAAGGACCAGCATGCCCTGTCTGATCTGCTTGGACTTCCGCACAGCCTCCCCCCACCCTCCCGCCTGAGCCCGCTTTGTGGCCTTGGTGCGTCAGCTGACTTGACACAGTCAACAGGGGCCTTCCCAGGGGTTGTGCCTTATGACATCCAGGGCTTGGTCCTCAGCTCTTCAGACCTAGAATGTGATTTTATCAGCTTACCCAGAACAAGCAAGGGCTGGGAGATTGCAAGTAAATCCAGGAGATACTAATAGGTGTAATAGACTGGCTGATTAAGTTAGTCTGGGAGCCTGACCTCTACTGTGCCCGACCTCCACTGTGCCCTCCCTCCCAGCAGGCAGGGCTGGAGACAGGAACAGGCCTGACAATGCCGAGAAGCTTCAGGGTTAGAACAAAGGACGCTGGGTGTTGATTTCACTGCTCAGTATGCAGCTAATAAAGATGCATATAGTTCAAAGAGACAAAAACCTCAGTAAGTGAAGGAGCCAAAGGCAGATGAAAATAAGGGTAGGAAAAATAAGACAAGGCCAGAAGAATGCTTAGTCTCCTCCATGCTTGCCTTGAGGTCCTGTATACTCTAAGGGTTTGGCCTTGAGTTCCCTAGCAGCCAAGGCAAAGAGGAAAGCCATGATGATTAACATGGTGTAAAAGGGAGCTTAGCACCAAGGAGAGGTACTGCTGTTGGCCTAGGAGAGCGGGGTGAATGGCTGTGCTCCCCTCAGGAGACCATGCTGCCCCTAGAATGGGCACCAGGCCTGCGAATCAGGGGCTGCCATTCCCCATGGGCTGCACCTTGATGTGAACACGCTGCTGGTAGGCAAGGCTGTCTTAGGATACCTCTAGTCTCCTATTATTATTATTTTTAAAATTTATTTATTTTTGGCTGCTTTGGGTCTTTGTTGCTGTGTGCGGGCTTTCTCTAGTTGCAGCGAGCAGGGGCTACTCTTTCATTGTGGTGCGCAGGCTTCTCACTGCGGTGGCTTCTCTTGTTGCAGAGCACAGAGAGGCTCGCAGGCTTCAGTAGTTGTGGCACAGGGGCTCTAGAGCACAGGCTCAGTAGTTGTGGTGCACGGGATTAGTTGCTCTGCGGCATGTGGGATCTTCCCAGACCAGGGCTTGAACCCATGTCCCCTGCGTTGGCAGGCGGATTCTTAACCACTGCACCACCAGGGAAGCCCTATTTTTTTAATATAATTTTTATTGGAGTGTAGTTGATTTACAGTGTTGTGTTAGTCCAGGTGTACAGCAAAGTGAATCAGTTACACATATACATATATCCACTCTTTTTTTTTTTTTATATATATTCTTTTCCCATATAGGCCATTACAGAGTATTGAGTAGAGTTCCCTGTGCTATACAGCAGGTTCTTATTAGTTATCTATTTTATATATAGTAGTGTGGATACGTCAGTCCCAATCTCCCAATTTATCCCTCCTCCCCCTAGTCTCCTGTTATTTTGAGAAACATTTTGGTCTCCCCAGTTGAGATTTGGAAAGCCAACCTGGACTTTGGTACCTCCTTGACAAAGCTGCCATTAAAGCCTTTCTGGGGCACAGTCCAGCTACTTGTGCCCCCCTCCCCTCCCACCCCCCGCCATGGGCAGGGGGCACCAAGGCAGGGGTGTGAGGAAGCAGAACCCTCTCAGGGACCCACCCATAGTTAGTCGGGGCTACGGGCCAGGGCAAGGGGAGGTAACAGGAGACAAGCCTGCAGAGGCTTATGGAACCCAATCATGAAAGGCTTCAGTGGACTTTGGTCCCCGGCCAGGGAAGGGCTGTGAGCAGGGCCTAGTGGACCAGACAGGCCATGCTGGCTGCTCTTATGGCTGGGCCAGAGAGAGTCCAGCTTCTTCCTCAGGGCTGGAGTTGCTACTCCTTAGTCCCTAACACCCTGCCCCTAAAACTCTGGTGGCCCCTCATCAGGCTGCCCTTCAGCTCAATGGTAGGAGTCCATCCCGGGCAGCAAGTGACTCTCTCCTCCCGTTGCAGGCCAGTGCGACTTTGGCTCCAACTGCAGATTTTCCCACATGTCAGAGCGAGACCTGCAGGACCTGAGTATGCAGGTGGAGGGTGCGTTTCACTGGGACCCTGGGCTGGGCAGGGGTGGGTGCTGGGGGAATGTAGGGGAATGCTGCCCTGTGTCTCCCCCCTTCCCCCTCTTTTGTGGCTGCCATGTGGGGTAGGCTGAGGGCTATCCAGGGCATCAGGAACTGCTTTCAAACCACCCCAGGCATGAGTGGAGAAGGAGCCAGGGAGCCCCCATCCATGTGCCCGGCTGGGTTTAAAGTGACACGCATGGCTTCCTGTCCAGGAGTCCCGAGGGTGTGCCTCAGCCCCACCTGGGCCCTGCTAGCCTGGCATTCATTCATGTACACCCACCCCCCCTTCCTCAATCAGGCAACGTGTTTGGAGCCCCTATTCGGCCCCTGGCAGATCCCCCACTGTGCTCTGGGGACAAGGGGATAAAAAGAGCACCTTCCCTGCCCTCAGGATGCTCAGGCCTGGGGACTACAGGGAAGGGCAAGTTCAGCTTCCCTCTGGAAACTGGCATGTCTGCCTTTGGGAAATTCACTTCCTACTGCTCCAATTAGAGATAAGGAAATTCCCACTTAGATGGTCTTTATCGATCTTCGCATGCAGCCCCTCACTGAATGGATGGAGAAACTGAGCCTCATGTGAGCCCCCATCCAGTGCGGCTCCTCTGTCCACGTGGCCTCGGGCAGCCAGCGAGCGTCTGGGGTGGCCTGGCCTTCACCCTCATCCACCAATAGGCCTCACTCCCCTCCGACCAGTTAGACCCTGTGGGCAGTAACCTGCCCTGGGGATCTGATGACAGTGTAGCAGCAGCCCTGCCACAAACACAGGTTTCTAGGAGCTTTCCCAGGGTGGAAGTGAGGCCTTATGGGCCAGGCCAGCGAGTCCTGGTGACAGCTGTATCTCCAGCTCTTCCAGCCATGGTCTCTCAGAGCCTTTGGCCCCTGGTGGGAGAGCGCAGGCTTTGCCCTGTTCTGCAGCCCACACTGCCTCCCTGACCCCAGGTTTGGACCCCTCCTGAGGACCAGGCTCTCAACTGTCCTGTGTCCAACTCCAAAAAGCTTGGGAGGCAGCCAGTGTTTTGTCTTCACTTCATGGGGAAGCAGAGTGAGGCCCAGAGGGGCTACCTGGGGAGGTGGCTGCAGGATGGGGACAGGCCAGAGGACCTGCTCCTGGCCTCCCAGCCCGTGCCTCCCCCCCCCACCTCTGGAAGGTTCCAGCTGCTTTGTGAGAGTGTGGGGTTCAGATGGGGGTGAGTATGCCCCTCAGTTGCCTGTCTCTCTATCCCCACAGAGGAGAGGTGGGCCAGGGAGTGGCCACTAGACGTCACCGAGCTCCCTGAGGTCCACGTGGAGGACTGGCTGGAGAAGAGAGCCCAGCAGCTGAGCTCGGCCCCAAGCAGCAGGTACAGGCCCTGTGGGTCCCCTTCTCCCACGCCCTCCAGTTGCAAGACGCCAGCCAGCTTGCCCTTGTCTCCACGAACTGCCCAGGGACCAGACACGGGTGCCCCCAAAGGACTCCTCAGGTGGGGGCCACATCGGGAGCTCTTGGGTCCCCAGGCCCTGGCCAGAGGCTGAAGGGCACTTGCCTGAAGGTTCCTGGCCTAGGCCTCATCCCCCTGCCTTAGTGGAGTCTGCAGTGGCTGAAGGGGGCAGGTGGCCAAGCCAGCTTGACTCCACATCACCAAGTCCATTGCCAGAGGGAGAGGCCTGACTGTGGTTACTGAGGCCCCAGAAAGTCAGTCACCACACTGTCCCCTCTAGGCCCTGCCAGATAGGCATGGTTGCTCCGACCCTGCAGAAGGGGAAGTGAGGCTCATGGGATGATGTGACTTGTCCAAGGGCACACAGCTCGGAGCAGGCACAGCTGGGATTGCACAGGCATGTGACAGGCTCTTTGTCATTGTCCCACTGCCTCCTCGAGGAAGTGGCTGGGGTGGGGCTGGCCCAGCTGCTGCCTGGGCCCAGCACTCAGGATGCTCAGAAGTGGACAGGGTGCGCTTTACCCCTTGTATGGGGAGCACCCTGGGTCAGGAGCCCACAGGTGTGTGCTGTGTGCCATCCCAAGTTCTCCTCTTCAAGGTCACAGCCAAGACCAAAGCCAGGGCTCCTGGGGTCGTCTACCAGGTATTGAAAGAGAGAGAAGGGAGGAAAAGGGCTAAAGGATGTGCCTGTGACCTGCCTGACTTGGTAAAGTCACCCCGTGCTGGGCTGCCTCCTTTCCCGTCCTGCACTGGGACCCGGTGGCCTCATGGGACAGCAGCCTGGCTGGGACAGTCTGTGGGAAAGGTGAGGCTTCCCTTGAGGCTCCGCCAGGAGATGAGGGCCAAGCTTCTTGCCTTCTCCGTGCCTCAGTGAGGAGAGCTTGTTAAGCTATTTTAAAATTAACTTTAATTGTTTTTAAATCTGTGCCCAGTTTGTCCCCCGACCTTGAAAATATATAGTACAGTCATGACTCCTGTGTTGGAATGTGACATCCCTTCCGTCTGGTCTTGTCAGAAGTGGTTGTGATCTTGGTAGTGTGGGCACCTCCCTCGGGACTGGTCCAGGGACCCATGTCCTGCACCCCAGCTCGGGGCTGAGGCCACTCAGAGAACTCTGGGGGCTTCCCCACTCCCCCACTCCCTGGACCCAGCTGCCTCCCCGCTCCGCCACCATGGTTCCTCTGCTGGGAGTGAGCCCCAGAGGCCTGGGCACCCCCTGGGCTTGTGCCGAGGGCTCAGGGAGACCCTGTGGCTGGGCTGAGGGGGCGTGGGGGTGGGTAGAGATGGGTGCCCTGAAGTCCCTTCCTAGGGATAGATGTGTCCCTGTGCTCTCTAAGGCAGCGTGCCTGTGACCATGAGACTCAGAGGACTAGGGGACAAGATGGAGAAACTGAGGCTGAATGATGGGCCCAGAGTCGCAGGAAGAGTGGTGACCACGTGATAATCAGGTGTGTTGGTGCCGTGGTGTGCCCGGCACTCAGCCCCGGCCTTTAGGGGGGTTGGTGCCCTCGGTTTGTAGCTGAGGAATCTCTTCCCCTCCAGGAGGTTGTGACTGCCTTGGTCACACACCTACTACCCTTAGCAGCACTCAGCTGTCACTTGAGAGAGAGCTTAGGTCCCTGCCCTGGCTTTGGACCCTGGGCCACTTCTGTTACCAGGTCTAGGGCTGGCCAAGGGCCAGTGCAGTGGTTGGCCACTGCAGCCGGAAGTCTGCAGTAGTAGTGGCAGTAGCCGGCTGCTGGGATGGCAGTGACTGGAATAGAGCTTGCCGCTGGGGACCACCCTAGGCTGAACCCTATCCCCTGGGCTCCTCTCCCGCTGACCACCCAACCTGGCCCCTTCCAGGGGACCTGCTTTTCCACTTGTTCTCTGTGCCTTTGCACAAGTCCACCTGCCTCCTGAGGGCTTGCAGCCAAAATGAATTACTCTCTGGGCAGAGCAGGCCAGTCCAGCCTTGAGAAAAGGAGGTTGTTAGGAGGGAGGTGACCATTTATCATTGCTTTTGCCATCACAGCCTCGGTCTTCCTCAGCCCTCTCCCCTCAGGTTGGTCTCATGAAAAATGATACCCACACCCTGCAGCCCACAGGCTTTGGGCTCTGCCCTTGCGTCCCTGGCCCCCACTCCGCAGGGTCAGGGAGGTTGATTGCAGCCAGGAGGCTGCCTCTCTCTGTTCCCTGAGTCTACCATCAAGGCAGCCCTGTGGCAACAGTGCCCTCTCTGCCCTTCACCCACCCTGGCTCTCCTAGACATCACGGCAGCCCTTCCTGGTCTACCTGCCTCTGCTCCTCCAGTCCATCCTCCACACAACAGCCCCAACCAGCTTCTAGAACACTCCCTGGCCCCGGCCCTGCTGAAACCCTCCTGGGCTTCCTCCCCGTCAGGGGGACCCGGACTCCACAGCCCAGTTTGCAAGGTCCCGGAGAACTTCCCTGCCGCCTCCACGGCCCTTGAGGGTCACCTTCTCACCTCTCCCATCTGGCCTCTTTGTCACTCCCGCTGGACGCTTGGCAGCTGGTTAGGTGTGGTGGGACGTTTCTGATTTTGGGGCACCTTGTGCACACCATTTCCTCTGCCTGGAACTGCCCCACCACCACCACGTCTGCCTGGCAAAGTCAGACTCATCCTTCAGGCTTTAGCTGAGACATCTCCCCTTTCTCCCCTTCCACCCCCGGGCCTCCCCCTCACGGCCCTGAGCTCACAGTCATCAGCCTGGTGCAGACCCAGGACATGTTGGCTGCATGAGAGAGCATTTGGAGGAGCAGGGTCCCGGCCTGGAGGACTATTCCTGAGTATTAGTGCCGTGGGCGCCTCGTGGGGACGGGTCTGGTGGCCCCTCTTCCTCGCTGGGTGTCTGTGTCCTCCCCCCAGGACACAGGGCAGAGATGGCTGCCTGGCCCACCTGGGGCCACCCAGACCTGAGGGCTCTGACCTCACAGGCTGAGCGGAGCCCTCAAGGTGAGCCGGGCTAACCATCCTTGTAAAGGGGAGATGGAGGCTCAATGGGGCCCCAGCCTGGTGCATTGTCCCACCCCCCACCCCCACCCCCCACCCCTTGCCCCAGCAGACTGACCCTGAGGCACCTGCTGGGAGCAGACAGTAGGGGGAGGGAGGGGCCAGCCTCAGGTGAGCAGGCTGATCCCTGCGAGGCCAGTGCTCGCCCCTGCTTTCCACTGTTGGCTCTTCAGGTTGTGACTTTATCCGTCTTAATCTTCCCCTTTGCACCCCTCTCAGGGCTGGTGCTACTGTTCTGGCCCAGGTGCCTCCCTAAGACTCTCTCCTTCTAATTAGGACCATAGCTGGGGACAGGTGAAAGAGAGCTGCCCTGTCCCTGTGACGGGGCAGACAGGCCAAGAGAGAAGCCACGAGCACAGTCCTACGCACCTGTGTCCCCGTCTGCTCTGTGCAGACTGGAGGGGTGTGCTCCAAGGCCTCGGGGCCCGCATGTCTGAGGCCCGGGGAACGCACCCTTCTCCTGGCGGGAGGCCTCAGCTGCCCGGGAGTCTAACCCGTGTCCTAGAGGAAGGGCCTGAGGCTCACAAGAAGGGGCTCCCTGATGGATCACACCCTCTCAGAACTGCGGTCACCCCAGCCCCACGGGGAGCCAGGGCTTGGCTGGCAGCTGGGGCTCTCCCTTCCAGCAACTGCGGAGCCTCCTCCATTCCCACCCTTCTCTGCGCCTGGTGGAGTTTATAAAATCTCCCCGGCACCATAAATCATGCTGGGAGCCGCTTTCTGTGCTTTCCAGTGGGCAGCAGGCTGCCGAGCAGGGATTCCCCTGTCCTCGCGCCACGGGAGGCCCCAGAGGCTGCACCGGGGCTGCCTGAAGCCCTTGCTTTGGGTCCGACAGCAGGTCAGGCCCAGGAGGGGTGGCTGGTCGAGGCTTCAAACCTCTCAGTGGGCCTGGGACGCTCCCGTCCTGCAGAGGCCCGGCCACTGGGCCCCTGAGCCTGCCAGGGCCTCACCTTCACTGAAAGTGGGACCTGGGGGTGGGCTGGGCTGGGCTGGGGGCAGAAGCATGAGGGACCAACATCTGGGGCCCACGTGTAGGTGGCATTCCGGCCTCTCACCCCCCATTCTAGACTGTGTCGCTTGGGCCCGTGACTGATTCCATGCACCTCAGTTGCCTCATCTATAAAATGGGGTTCAGTAAGGATTCTTAAGGTTCCTCTCGGCCGTGCTGTCTGGCCCAGAGTAGTATCCAGGCAGTAATAGCGCTCAGCATGGCTGTTTGTCATCAGCAAGCATTCACTGGGTGGCTCCCTGTGCCAGGCCCGGCTCTGGGCACTGCGGGAGCAGATGGACGCCACCCCATCCCCTGGTCTCTCCCCCTTGGAGAGCTCCAGTCCTACAGGGGCGACGTGAGCTCCCAAGTGAGTTCAAGGTAGCCTGAGGGGCAGAGCAGCCCTGGAGCGGCAGTCTGAGTGGGGGTCAAGTCCAGAAGGATCGGAATGTGGAGCAGTTGGTGGGGAGGCTGCCTGTGCGCCTCAGCGGCTCCCTTAGGACACGGCCACCCCGGGCTGAGCACACAGGGTGGGTGCTTCAGATAGGCCCCGGGCCTTAGGAGGTGGCTCCTGGGACGATGGATCTTGGGGAAGGGGAGTAAGTAGCATGAGAAATAAGGCTTTTAAAAAATTTTTAGACAATATTATTTTCTCATTTCAAAGGCTTGCGTGCTTGAAAAACTTTCTTGAAAAGTATAAAGAAGTAAAAAAAAATCACCCATAATTGCACCGCTCAGATAGAACCACTGTTAACATTTTGCTGTGTCTTCCAGGTTTTTTTTTATGCATTTATATATGCTATATATCTTTAAACAAAAATAGTATCATGCTATATACATTATTTTATAAGCTGCTTTTTCTCCCTACTCACACGGTATTATACATCATGACACCTTTCCTCATCAGTGCATATAAGTTTGCCTTAATTCTCACGCAGGCTGCGTAGCATTCTCTGCTGTGGACGTGCATATATATTTAATTAGTCCCCCACAGGTGGACACTTAGGTTATTTCCATTTCTTATAGCTCAGTCTCTGCCCACAGCCCCCCTATTTCCTTGCGCTCAATCCTAGAGGTGAGGTGGCTGGCTCAAAGGGTCTGCGTGTTTCTGAGACTCTGCCTTCCAGAAAGGTGATACAGGCAGCTGCCCCTGCCCACAGCTGGGGTGGTGGGGAGGGTGAGCTGGAGGGGGGTGCCCCCGCCTGGGCCTGAGCTGTGCTCCACACTAATTCTCTGTTCTTTTCTTTCCCTCTAGGGCTGAACCCATCAGAGCCACCGTCTTCCAGTACCCGGTGGGCTGGCCACCAGTCCAGGAGCTTCCTCCATCCCTGCGGGCACCCCCGCCTGGGGGCTGGCCCCTGCAGCCCAGCGTCCAGTGGGGCTGAGTCCCTTATCCCTGCCTAGTCAGCCCTCCAATCAGCCACAATAAAGGGCTTGTACGGGGGACACCCAGGCCCCCTCCTGCTGCACCCCATGGAGCATCTGAAACTAAAGACCGGGCCTGGCCTGGCCTCTCTGAGGCCTAAGTGTCCTCCCCAACCAGGTGCAGCCCTGGTCCTGGCTCTGAGCCAGGCAGCTCCACCACCCCCACCCCAACGGGACATCTTGAGAAGACTTCCTTCCAGATGTTTATAAAGAAAGTCTGTCACCACCATTGTGCGGCTGCTCTTGCCCCTTGCCTGGTGCCCTCAGCTCCGTGCTCTGGCCCTGGGTCAGATGATGGGCAGGGCTGGAGTGAGGTGAGGTCCTCTCCAGGGTGACCGGTGCTTGCTGCCCTTCTCCCTTGGGAGCCGGCAGAGGCTCAGCACAGCCGGGCAGGGGGCAGCCAGCGTGGCTGTGACTCGCCCAGGCGAGCAGTAGCCCCAGATCTGGGGAGGAGAGCTGAGGACTCAGTCTGCTGTCCTGGCCCCCACATCAGCCCGTGCTGAGCTGGTGCCCAACCGTGAGATGGCACAGCTTGGGCAGGGATGGGAGCTGGGTCTCCAGCCTGGATGGTGTGGAGAAGTGGGCGACCCAGGAGGACGGGCCCTGAGCTTGGGAGAGTGGCCTGGCTGAACTTCCTGGCACTGACACCAGGGGTGGCTTCTGCCCTGGAGGAGCCCCCCAGTCGGTAGGGAGACCACATAGGTTGCTCAGGGGATTCGCAGCCTCTGGGCCCCAACTCTGCTTCCTGCCTCCACTGCACTCCACTGTGCTGGGGTGCTCGTGGGCAATGTGGCCCTCAGGTCACTGGGCCTCTGGTGGGGGGCCCAATGGATGAGGTGGCAGCTGGGCCACCTCAGATGCTCCATCTTCTGTGAGCTTCTGCCCTGCCTAAAAATCAACATTGATGGGGGAACTGAGGCCAAATCTGGGAGCCCTCTGAGCCTCAGGGTCCTCATCTTTGAAATGGGCTGATTCTCTAGCCTTAGTGGGTGTGTGGAGGAGGCTGGGTTTGAGTCTAAGGAAGGTCAGAGGAAGGGATTCAGCAGAAGGCCGGGGGCTTCCTCAGGCCATGCCAGGGAGAAGGGCCCAGGAGACCCCAGCCTCATGTTGCCCTCCAGGAGGAGGCTTTCTGTCCCCTGCACTCCCTTCCATGGCCCTGGGCAGACCTGAGGGACCAGGGTTGGGTTGGCTATATGGCCCTGGGCACACAATGCCTCCTCCTGCCCAAGGGACCTGCAGCTACTGGGTCCTGTATAAATTCCTCCTTAATTTCCCAGGAGCCCCTGCACAGCGAGAAAAGTTAGTGCTACATACAGGCCAGGGTGGGGCAGGGCAGGGTGCAGGCAGGGCCAGGGCCAGGGCCGTCCTCAGAGCCACCACCAGGCCCTCTGCAGCTGGGCCACAGCTCCATGCAAGGCCTGTGGGGCGGGCGGGGTGGTGCCGCTGGACGCCCAGGCCCTGAAGTACACGCGGTGGTGGCCCAGGGAGTTGGTGGAGGGAGAGGACTGTGGGCGGCGGTGGGTGTGGAGGGGCCCCACGCACCGCGCGCCCCATGGGGCGCCCAGGTGGCGCCTATTTCATGCCGCTGCGCAGCACCTGGTTGGCTGCGATGAGCATGACGCTGATGATGAAGGCGATGGCGAAGGCGCAGATCAGGCTCTTGCGCACGCACGTCTGACGGATCTGCTGGTTGGAGCAGGCTGTGGCCGCCCGCCGCCGGGGAGCACCAGAGAGAGAAGGGGACAGCCAAGTGACGGACTCAGGAGCCGTCTGCCCTTCTGCACATGGGCTCGTCCCGCGGGGCACACGGGGACGCAAGGTTTGGGGCAGCAAGGAGGCCCCCAGCCCCCCTCTGCAAGCCCCTGGTTCCTCCCCTGCCCGAGCAGTTGGCCCGCCCGTGGGGTCCCGGAGTGGGTCACTCACTCTCCACGTCCACGGGGCACTCCTCCGCTGTGCCTAGGTGGCTCTCCTCCTCCGTCATGATGATGTTCTCAATATCCTTCATGGACAGGTGCTCACAGAAGGTGTCGTAGAGTAGCCGCTTCAGCTCGTCCACGGTCAGCTTTTGCATGTCACACTTGGGTGGGGGGAGACACAGCGCTCTGGCCACCAGCACCACCACAGTCCCCCCCGCCCAGCACCTGCAGCCACACAAGCCAGTGACAAGCCTCCAGATTCTGGAGGGCTGGGAACCACTCACTCCATTCTCTGAGTCCTCGACCAACACCAGCCTCCCCAGGGAACCCCATGGCCCGCTGGGAGACAAGACGTCCAGTGGACAGAGCCTGGGGGTGTCATCCCCCTCTTTATGGTGTGGGCCCGACCCTTCACTGGCCCAGTACAGCCCTTCACTGTGCACACAGCCCTGGGTCCCAATCAGCCAGGGAGTACCTTCCAGAAGACGGTGTCGAAGTCAGTGCCGTGGAATTTCTCTGGGATCCCCGAGGTGGAGAGCTTGGGTCCCAGAAGGGTCACAAACTCCTCGAAGTCCACTTGGCCATCACCTAGAGCGGGCACAGTTCCAGTCAGCTGGTGAGGCTGCACCTGGGCACCTTGGGCCACCATGGGACCTCAGGCAGGTCC